AAAACCCATACCCAATACATGTGGCTTAGAGTGCTTTGAAGGAAAAGCTCTTCATGAAGTGCCGAAGCAGGGATTGGGGGAGACTGACACGTGATTCCACCCCAAACTTGATACTGTCAAATGCGCCCGGCCCTCTAGCAACCTGAAAGGGTTTCCAAGGTTGTCCTTTTTAAGGAAGCAGCCTGCTCCTTCTTTCTCCCAAAGCACAGCTGGTGGGTGCTAACCCAGGCTTCCGGTGAGCAGCTCAGTGGTTTCACTGCTGCACCCCAGGGCTCCTTGGGCACCTGGTCAAGAAGCTCGTTCATTCGACAAACGCTCAGCAGGTCATGTTCTGGCCGAGCTGGGAAGAGACAAACGCAATACTCGAATAGGAGAGGCCTTCCAAAAGTGTGCAGGAAAATGAAATTGAGAGATGTTTTCTCAGGAACTTTTTGAAGCCCCCTTGTCTTTGCCAGGGGAGGGGGAGGACGGGACTGCATAGCAGGCCTCACTGAGAGGATAACTTCTGTGCCCCGAAGTCTCATCCCTACCCCAGGTGCCCCCATTGCTGCCCTGAGCTGCTAACTGCAAGGTGAGCGGTTCAAATACACCAGTCATTTCTCTCAAGATGCAGCTGCCTGCTCCCATAAAGATCAACAGCCTCAGAAATCCTGTACAGGGTCACTCTGAGCTGACTCGCTGGCAGCAGGTTTGGGAGCCCTGGTGGCAGAGGGGATTAATGCGTCTGTTAACTGCAAGGTCAGCGATTTGAAACCAGGAGTCCCTCCAAGGGAGAAAGTGAGGGTCTCTCCCCCTGTAAAGACTTACAGCCTCGGAAATCCAAGGAGGTAGCAGGCCTCCACTGCTCTACAGGAGGAGGAGTCAGACGTGACTCGACGGCCATGAGGCTGTGAGCAAGGTGAATGAAGGGCGGGCCTCCTGGGCGCACGCTGCCCCGCTTGTCCTGCCTCACCTTCTCAAGGCTGAACCGGTTTCTCACTTCTAGGAAGGTTATGGTGACTTGCAATGAGAAGTTTTTTAAACTTTTCTTTCTTGCCAATACCGAGACAGCATGCACTCATCAGAAAACCACGCACAATCACAAGCAGCTTTTGTGGGCAAATTATTGGCGTGCTGCATAAGAAAGCACGTGCAGAGAGACAGGGAGAGAGAGACAAAAAGAGTGAGAGTAAGTATGTATTTGTGTGTGTGTGTGTGTGTGTGTGTGTGTGTGAGAGAGAGAGAGAGAGAGAGAGAGAGATGGAATCGCCACCAGTCGCCTCACCTGGCAGTCTGGGGCTTATTTCTGATGCCAACAGTTTGTGAAGTCATAAAACGCCAATCCTCCTGGCAGTTCTCATGACCCTCCAGCCTTCATGGGGTTTAAGTACATATTTCAGAAAAATTGGCAAAGGTGTAAACATATGTAAGGATATCTGATACTGCATCCACAGGGGCACGCTACTCTTATCACACACGTGCGCACACACACACACACACACACACATTCTCTAAGGAATGTATTTCTTCAGCTCAAAGTTGGAGAAATTTGAGTATTAAAAAAAAAATCTGAAGGTCATACCGCATGACATAAAATCTAATTCGCAGGTGCCTCTTGTCAACACACCTGGTTAGGCTGGCTATGCTTGTATGGGGAAAGTATTGTTGATGGCTAGGGGACAGAGGGGCCACTTTTTAAAAAGAATCCGACTGACAGGGCCAGGAGGTTTGGACAGTGTTAAGTTTAAACTGGGTCCAGCTTTTGATGGTTGGAGAATTGGGAGAATGGCATGAGGTCAAACTCAAAGCCATCAAGTCAATCCCAACCTGACTCCTGGACACCCTATAGGAAAGGGTACTTGATACTGCCCCTGAGTGTTTCCTGGGCTGTAAATCATTACAGGAGTAGAAAGCATTCTTTCTCCTGAGGAGCAGCTGGGGGTTCAGACTGCTCAAATTGTGGTTAGCAGCCTAAGGTTTACCCTTGACTCTATACCACCAGGCTCCTTAATGCAGAGGTGGTGAATGTAAATTTCATCGTGTATTTCTATCAGCCAAAGCAGACGCCTGACTTCTTCAGTTTGTTAGATGAGAGAAACTTAACCAGCACTGGAAATTCTGACCCCAGTCCAACACTAGGGTCTCAAAGCATTCCTGGAAATGGTGATAATAGGTCATCAAATAATTCGTGAGCTTTGGGTCTGGCTGGAGACACCTGGGCAGGAATATGGCTGCCTGGGCCCTGACCTTCAGTGGGTTACCACCCTTCAAAACTGAAAACGACTTATACCGCTGCACGCCTAGAAATGCATACATATCACTCAATTGATGGACTCCACAATCTCTCCTTCCTCTGGCCCCAGCTCTTTGGGTAACGCCACCGGCCAAGGTGGGTGGCACTTGTGACGGTGTAATTCCTGGAGGCAACCCCTCCACCAGCTGTCATCACTAAAAACCAAGTAGTAGCAGTAGAACAAGCCGAGAGAAATACTGCTCCGAGCACTGACCTCGATGTGCTCCCTTGTCGGTGACTGAGAAGGCACACACATCTAGTCTTGGAAAGGAGCCCTGGTGGCAGCATGGCTAAGTGCTCCGAGGCTGGAAGCCCCCAGCCACCTTCTGGAGAAAAGACCTGCTCCCAGGTTCCTCGGTGCCATCGAACGACTGTGACTCACAGTGAGCCTACAGAACTGGGTAGAACTGCCCCTACAAGTTTCTGAGATTGTAACTCTTTCCAGGGGTAGAAAGCCTCGTCTTTCTCCCGGACAGCGGCTGGTGGTTTTGAAGTGCTGCCCTGGCGGTGAGCAGCCCACCGGGCCAGCTCCACTCTTGTCCTCAGGGGCGGTTAGGAGTCAGAATTGGCTCAACAGCATCAGCTTGTGGTTTTGAAGTGCTGCCCTGGCAGTGAGCAGCCCACCGGGCCAGCTCCACTCTTGTCCTCAGGGGCGGTTAGGAGTCAGAATTGGCTCAACAGCATCAGCTTCAGCTCGCTCTGGTTTATATTCTTAAGGGGGTGGGGTGGGGGAAGGAACTGAAGCTTTGGGTCCCCCAGCTGACATTTAGGCTCCACCTCAAATGTGCAAATCTTCCTCAAAGATGGTTGTCTTAACAGATAGCCACCAAAGTAGCTACTGCTTACCACGTATAACCATGTTTTATTTACACACACAGCTTTGTCAGCGCCCCACACTTTCCATCCCACCATCTTCAGTTTCATTTCTCCGTGAACAATCTCAGTCGAAGTGTAGCAATGCTGATAAGTCAAATGCCTCAGATTTCTAGGAGTTTTGAGGGAATACTCGGATAAGGCAGTTTTCGGTCTCATTGCGTAACTCAAAAATGCTGTTATCAATCACCTCACTGGTGTCAATTATATCTGCTAATCTAGCGAAACCATACCCATGTGTTCTGTTTTCTAAATTCTTATCCAATGAAAGTCAATAAACTCCCGATTTCAGGAACTTACTCAGATTCAGGCCAAGAAATTTCAGGGTTAAAAAACACACAAACAGAGCAGCAACTCTAAAAAAGTATTCATCCGTGGGTTTTAAAAATGGCCTCAAATGAGAACTTTCAAGTCTCAAGGGGTTGTTTGGCATTCTATTAATAGCAGGTGATTAAACACATATCTGTTTTCAACTGGAATCCATTTAAAAGTGCTTGAACTTTAAGTAAACGAGCCACTCATCCTCAATCCGTGTCCGTTTCTGGAAAAATCCTCTCATCCTACAGGCGTTTGGAGTCCAGCTTATCCACGCGTTGCTACGGGTTGGGTGAGTTTCGGCTCTTGGAAAAAGGATCGCCCGCCGAAGGTCTAAGACTCGCTCCAAGGACAACCCCCCGCCGCCGCCCAGCGCCCAGGAGGCAGCAGGCCCGGCTCACCCGGCGTTCCTAATTACTCCCGCCTCGCTCCCCACATTCCTGGGCCCGAGAAACCCGAGCCCGGCGTGGGGGAGCCCGGCAGCCCCG